TACCGGTACAGTTTACATGTACACAGAAAAAGTAACGGTAAGTTGCTGCCAAACTGTGGATGGCGAAGAATTTGGCATTGATTGCAGTCTACAAGTACAGGTAGCGCACACAGGTGAAACTGAATTTTTAAGGAGAAAACAGCTACAAGTACCAACAGATGATTAATGCTGAGTCTGATCTACTGAGGCCGAGGATTGCAGAGAGATTAAAAGAGGCATTAGATGAGTTAAGTGCCTCTTAAGCACATTTCACCAGCTGAAAATGCTTACGCAACTGATGTCAATTTAAGCATCAGGGCCAGCCTACGCAAGTACATGTACATGGCTGCACAGGTACGGTTCAGGTGCAATACAGTGCACAGCGTATGTACCGGTACAAGCACACTGTGAAACATTACTTTTCATACTCTAGTACTATGCTGTAATTTGACGACCACGATGTGGATTGATTGCAATGAGTTACGACCAATTGCTCTACCGCCAGACTGTCAGTGAACCCTTGCAGACATGTACTGGTATCAAACATTTCATTCCAAATGGCAGAGGGCAGTGACATTACATCAAATTACGGTACATGGAAAAACACGCACTTGTAACATAAAGGGTGGAAAGAAAACAAGAAGTTGGTTAACCACAGCTTCTTAATACCAGTATATACAGGTACAATGTACATATGTACATGTATGTAAATGGACAGATACAGGGTTTGAAATTACAGTCAGACATGAGACTTTTTCATTTTTCAACAAATTTTGGTATTTCTGTTGGACCATAAGGATGTGGTTGTACACAAATTCCACAGAAAATGGAAAATCCCAAGAGCAAAATCTGTTTCTACTTTAAAGGTTTTTCTACCACATGTACAGCAGGCTAAATGACATCCCTACATGTACACTGTATCAAGCTAACATCTGGTCAACATGGAAGAACAAAATTGATCATGACGGTACATGTACCCGGTATATTTTGTCCCACTGAACCATTCTTGGGCCACATTTCATGCATTGTACATACCGGTACACGTACATGCACTGAACTGAATGCGTGCCTACAGTCTCACCCAGGTACCGGTAATTTGCCAACAAGCCTATGCATGAAGAACCGGTAACGATCAGGGCACACTCACTGACCCATGTGACCAAATTACATGTATGTACATGTACATCCGCAACTGTTGCAGGTGTGCCTTGCACAGTTTGCATGCTCAGGTACTAGTATACAATGTACATGTATGTAACGGTAGTAGGCAAAGCTTTGCTACATGTAGGTGCCGGTACAGCAAAAAATTGAAGAAAGATGCAGATCAAACCAACATCCAGTGTTGCATCGGTGTGACAGAGACAGTGGTGCATCCAGTGGGGGAGGGGAAAGTTATCCCCCATGTTGCAATTTTTTTTTTTTTTTTAAATTTATCTTTAATGAAATGCGGGAGGGGGAGGCGGTGCTTCAAGATTCCATTTGGGGTGGAAAACTTGGAGAGTTGTTTTTTGGACAAACATCAATTTCTCTCCCCCGGGACCAATACCTGGATGCACTACAGGATCTAAAGACTTGTAACCATGCATGTACACCTGTACATGAAAATGTGCTGGTAAGTTACTGCTACATGGCACAGGTGGTGACCATTATGCTGTTTGAGGAAGAATTTATGGTGCCTGGTTTTTTGGCAAGAAACAAAAAAGCCCCAGTCTAGTTTCGAATGTGCAACATACAGTGTACATGTACATGTACCGGTACTGTTATTAACCAACTGCTTGTCTACTGTAATCATGGCAACGGTGGCAGGACTGTGGTCTCGTGATACACTGACATTTTCTGTTCAGACTCTATGAATTTAGAACTCCCCCTTTGCCATTTGGAGACAATGGCCACTGACAGTGATATGTACATGTACCGGTTTGGCGGTCTCAGCTGTCTCCTGGTCTCAGTGGTCCCCCCTGACGTAGCCGGACATTTCAGCACGATACAAGCACTGTCTCGTTGGTCTTCCGTGCTGAGATGTCCGCATGACTAACTCGCACGGTACTATAAGCGGTGCTATTATCTTTGGTGTAGGCCTATTTATAGTACACGTCACGTACAACGTGAAGCATTGCACCGCTCAGCACGGCACTTAAACGGATGACTTTCCCATTGTTGTGCATAGAGATGGCATGACGTATTTTTACCATATTTGGTAAGGGGGACCGCTGAGACAGGGAGACAGCTGAGACCGCCATACATGTACATGTATATACGGTAGATTCCTGATACGGCATTTGATCCTTTGGCTGAGCCATGCCAAATCCAATGGCTACAGGATTCCTGATACTGCGGGCTCATTTGCTCCTTTTGCTGAATCACGTCAAATCCAACAAGATTCTTTGTGATTTAAATTAAACCCGTACCTAATATGCATAAAAGAGTTCAATTGGCATAACTCCACCTGTGTGTTCTCTAATGAAGCACACTCAAACAAATCACAGCAAATCACAAATTACCTTTAAAGGAACATTTTAAAGAGTTCTTCAAAGTTGATAAATTCTAGAAAACAATTCTCAATGTAGTGGTACCTACACTCACATACATGTGTACATGTACACATGTACATGTTCCGAACTACCCCAGTACTAGTACGGTGCATGTACCCCAGTACGTAACAAAATTATTCACCTGTTTTTAACACATTTTTAAAAGAGCTCAATATGCAAAAAGGCAACTGAAAAATCAGGCCTAAAGAAAGTTTCACTGGAACTTAGTAGAGGGTCTGGAAAGATTTATGAATACATGGGTACATTGAAAGCTTGATGAAATGTCACAATCTGTCCAATTTGTGGTAAAACTTTTGCTTTAGCAAGGTATCAGAGGTGAAAAATCAAAGTGCACCTTATTAGGGCACATTTACATGTAACAAGTTTAAAACAGTATGTCACTTGAAGAAACTTAATACTGTTTGTTCATGGAGGATGGGTTTCTCTACTATCATGGTAGTTATCACACTTCCTGATCAAAATAAAGATTGCTCACTCACCTTCCTGAATTATTCTACCCTTGATGTTGTGTAAGTCTTACTTTTTGACTTGATTCATAAGATTCTGTTTGTGGTTCAGTTTATTTTCCTATACGATAGCTCAGAAAATTTGTGTGTGTACCGTATGCAACTGGAGGTGGAGTCTCCATTATCACGGTATCAAGAAATAGTTTCTACGATAGCCCTTAAAGCACTTTGTTTATGAATAAGGATAAAGTGAATGAGTGACATGTAGTTTTCAAGCAAACTGAATAACCTCATTTTGTGACAAGGTTCCATTTTGCCATTAATTGACTCCTTTTTTCTAGTCTCCTTAAAAATACCAAATGCCAAGAGAACGAGATGGGAATTGCACTGCATCACCTTACACCGTAATTAATCCCGCAAGGACTGACTTTATTTGTTTCACCAGAGCTTTTTCACCCCAATCTTAAAAGCGGCAACATCTTTCACAATCATCTTATATTACATTGTGTCTGCAGAAGGAATAATAAACATGCGGGTATCACAAATTTCATTTTCTTGGTGAACAAGTTCTTTTATAGGGGTAATTCCAGAAATTAGGGGCCCATTTTTTTTAGTGTTCCTGTCACATCTGACATATGATTTTGTAAGTTCAGAATACATTTTGCAGTTTCCAAGTGTGATGGATTAATGCTCTGCAAAAAGGTATGTTAAGTCGCGTAATGCAAAAACACGTAATGGCCCATTCCATCTGCCAAGGGTGAAAATATTTTTCGGCCAATTGCTTGACCAGAAAGCCTCTGTTGCTAAGGAAAACCAAGAGAGTGTCTAATTTAAGTTTAATGTTTCTGTTTGTTATATATGTTTAAAGGGCATTGTATCTCAAAAAGCACACGTGATAAAATGAAATTATATGAATATGCAAATGGCAAATAACTCCAAAACACAAAGTGCCACTGGGATATCATATGGGATACGGGACATGTATATCAAATGAAAGCTTAGGATGTGAGCAATTTGATAGTATATACATGTATGTATATAACCCAAATTCAAAAAAATGTGACATAATACACCTTTTTGCAGAGCCGGTCACAAAATACAAGAAGCGATAGTTTGAAATCTATGCCGGTGATATTTTCATGTCAAATAACAAAGGTCAGATGTACGGTCACAGGGACACAAAAATGTCACACTTTTGGAGCCCTAATTTCTGGAATTGCCCACAAATGTCTGAAACAATGTCTACTTTCTGAGGTTGAATTCCCCCAAAGTATTAGACCTGAACTGTTCTATTCTTGCAAAATTCTTCAATTTTTCAAGTTGTAAAGAAAAGCAAAATCATTGAGACATTAATCCAGACGCAATCATTTGATGTTCACTGCCCCAGAAGGTAAAAGTACAAATTGATACTATTCTATCATAATGGAGATTGGGGTTGCACAAAAACAGTTTTTCAGCGCAGAAGCCCTTGTTTTGACTCAAAAAATGAGGAGTTAAAATGTGCCTAAAGTTTAGACTCCTTTGACCATTTTGGAATTAAAAATGAGAACCTACATGTACATGTACATGTAGCAATGGATATCCAAGTGCAGGGCAGCATTAGACATAACTCTTAACATGGTTAAAGAGATAGATGGTATTTAATGACAGACACAGTGAACGAAAATGCACACATTTCAGAAAAGTTACATCTTTAATTAAACATTATCAAAACTTACAGAACCTTGCAAATCTTTTCACTCCGTTTTCATAAAACTTATCCTCAGGCCATAAGTTATTGATTACCTGGGTGAATATTGCCAATTGGGAACTTATAGGAATTCAAAATTTCCGATATTGCATTAATATGAGTTACCACGATAATATAGGAACCGAGTATATGTTTGGCTTTGAGGCCTGCATAAGAGATACACGTTTGTTGTATTGTGCAAGTTCTGCAACTAATAATTCCAGTCGCGCCATTAGTGCTACACTATAGGCTAGGGCCTGAAGCCTATCATGTAAAAATAAATGTTGAATTTACCAGCAGCAAGGCGAACTCTTGCCTCTTCATTGTTAAGCGAATGGAGAGCGTACAAGCGGAGCTGCGTTGCAAATGCCTCGCTCCCCCACTCGTGCAACACCACCACCTTCGAGCCCAGCAGAACACCTTGCCTCGTCTCCCATAACGTCTCCGAGTCTTGGCCGTGCAGCAGGCTAGTCAGAGCCGTCTCCAGCCGCTCCAGCCCCGCGGGGTCGCTCTCGTCCAAGAGCCGCTGAAGCTGGGCTAACCCTCGGTCCCGGTCGAGTTTCTTCTCCCCACAGACCAGCTGAAGCGTGGCTTCCGTGGACATGTTGGATGATTCAACTGAGTGTCCTTCCTGCATGGACGTATCTTTACAGAGTAACAGAATGAAAGAGTTTTCACAGAAATTAGTGTGATGGTGTCACACTCACTGCTACGTATCCCATGTGCGTGACGTGAAGTGCTCAAACAAGACACGATCACGCACACTTACGTTACAAGCAATGATGATGCATTGGGCCTGACTACAGCTTTGAGGGCGCTCTTGCGAAACTTGCCTGTACTGTACTCGTACTCCGTACTATGTCCTGTCCACGTAAAAATGCACTACAAACATGCGCCCGGCCGCCCATAGAAACAGTGCAAAATCGGACCGAAAGAGCGCCGCCTGTTGACTCTGGTGAGGAGGCTGGCCTCTGTTTTTTCACTGGAAATTCAAGATTATTGCCGGGAGATCACTTTTCGTTTCAATTTGATGGGGGTTAGCCACGAAAATATTTTTGTATTCGCCTTTCCCCAAAGATACCCCCAAATAGTATTAAAACTGTGCGATCAACTCTGAATGTAGCCACCAACCTCTATCCAAAATAGGCCCGCAATTTTGGGCTTTTTGTGAAAGAAACACCCCGAACTGGAAACTATCAGTCCCAAATTCGGTATTTATTGAAATATTTCTATGATCCCTCCTGATTATGGCCTGTCTTATTGTAAAAATCCAGTGGGATTACAAAATATTAATGAGCTCGCGCGCAGAAATACAACCATTTGGTGGAATGCGTTTAACCCTGATTTCGCGAAAAGTATGGGCACACTTTTGATCTCCACTATAAAAATAGATGTACAAGTAATGCGCGGCCGAACAATGGCGGCGCGCTGCGCTTCAGGGGGGTAAATGATAACGCGCACTGCGTGTACAGTGTGCAAGCACCCTATCGGTCATTACGGTATGTTTTATCTTACAAATAAAGCGCTCTTGGGGAATGAAATAGACTATTTTCCCAACTTTTTATATATATCTGTTTCCTCTGTCATTTTTAATCAAGATAAATATTGAATAACTCTATCCGTAAACCGAAAATACATACTCACGAGAGAAATGAATCAAATTTATTTACATGCTGGATAGGTTTAATTCATATTCTTTCGGATATAATCAAGAAGACCAGTTTACTTGGACAAATGACCCGCATAGAATTATTCGATTTGAAGCTAATTATTTAATTTAATATTTAATAATTTAATTAATTAATTATTTAATAATTTAATTATTCAATTGTTGAAGCAATATTTCTTTTAAAATTCTTAGAAGAAATGAATAATTAATTCTGTTTCATTTAATGGTCGGTACATGGATCCCCCAGCGCCAGACGGCACTAAAAATTTATTTTGAAATACAAATTTATGAATATCCCGTAAATTTCATTTTATCCGGGCATGGCATGGCATGCAGGAACGTAACGTTCGTAATCAATAATCAGGTTGGCCGGTTGGCGAAGTACAAGCCGAAAAGGAAAAGCCTCACTAAATGCACAGCAATTTTCTGGTACTATTTAAGCCGCTTTTAAAAAGAGTGAGAAATCGATTTCTTTTTTTACCATCTAAACTCGTCAATCTATTTCTTTTAAGGAATTGACCATGAATTGCAACCGTTAGATCCCAATTGCCGTTTGATATGTTCTGCATTGGAACCTTCTATTCTACTGCTTTTCTTGTAGTCCAAAACGTCAGTGTTTGGATACGCCCATGACCACTGTAAGAAAGAAGCTCAGTGAAGACTTGCTTCAGATAAGCCGTGGGATTTTTCTCTTGAAGAAAGTATATACCAGCACCATGTGGATTTACATGTATTCTGCTTATTATTAACAAGTCGAAGGCAATTTAACTTGAACCACAGATGTTTTCCGAGCAAGGCTTATCAGAGCATGTTTTTACATTACTTGAAAGACATCGCGATGAAAAGTCCATTTTTGTCACCGTGACTGGAATAAATGCGGAACAGACGCGAGGTGCTCTCTTCCAGTAAGCACATATATACATGTAGGTGCTATGCAGCTGTACACTGTATAAAAAATTTAAACCTAACTAAATGAATCATGAATAAAATGAGATTTGACGACGTCTATCACAAGTTACATCTTTGTATGACTGGTGCAAGGATACATTCCAAGCAACTGTTGACAAAAATCGAAACACCAGACTCTGTGGAGCTAAATGCCGCTTTGTTTAGAGGGGGAAACCACTAATATTTGAATTAGCGTGCGATAAAGAAAGTCAAACTAAATAAAGTGTCATACTTCGTGCTGCAAAGATTATGTACAGTCCATCTTAGATAAACCAAGTCTTTCTTGGCCTGTAATTTACAAATGGACGTCCATCATTATACCACAAACAATACTTTACAAGGTTTGAAAAATACTGTACAGCAATTAATGCAAAATGCAATGCAAAGATAGAAAACTGGTGATGAGTAAACAAAATGAAAGTTTTCCAAACCAGTGGTTATTGGTCGGCACTCCGCAGACCGACACCTGACTTATAAACAAGCAGTGACACAGTTATCTTGACAATGTTTGAATAAAGGATCAATATTGAGTACAAGTCATTTTGGAAACTTTAAAGGTATTTTTTAAAGTGAGAGAAATATTGAAACACGGGGTATCTCGAATTTCAACGATGGAACCGCAATTAAAACGCCTGCACAGTTTATGTCACAAGATTGGATGAACGATTCTCACCCTTCCAATTCACCTCTTTTGGAGAAACGTCACAAAATTGTTATATTTACAGTATGGGTGCGAAAACGCTATTTAAAATTGGCAAGAAAATTACTCCAGTGAGGGTAAGGTTAGTTCAGCACAGAAAGTTTGATTTGTGGATGATTCTAAGATAAAAATATTTGGGAATTATTTTACTTACATGTTCAAAAGACACATCCGTGTCTTTTAAGACCTAAGTAAAATA